GGCGTTCGCCCCCATCGCCCCCCCCTCTGCACGCCTATGGACCAAACTAGGGTATTTAAGCCGTTCTTTGAAGTTTTAATCACTGAAGACTTTTATTTAATTAGAGTGCAGAAGGCGGTGCACTCGTTGTTCATGATCGATCATCTGAAGATATCATTAAACAATTAGTTGGGCGTGTTGATACTCTTTCCGTTGAATACAATAAAATTCTACTTGCTGTAGATGACTTAAAAAAGAGCAATCAGCAGGACCAGAATGTTAAGGAACAGCTCAGTGATATTGAAACTCGCCTTGCTCAGTTCACTCAGCGAGCCTTAATGAATCATCGAAAAAGGATTATTCAGGAGTCTACGAAATTGGCAAAAAAATTGGAAGGCTTATCTGAGAACATTGATCAGGAATCAGAAAAATTTGAAAATATCTTGGAGAATGCTCATAGGAAGATGGATGAAATTAGTGAGCAGTTACAAATGTTTCAGGCTACATTTCACGCCACATCACATGCATATCGTTACCCCATCACTGCATTATCTGAAAAGGTAGTGGAACTAGACAGCCGTCTCTCAATTCTTGAAGGAGGTGAAGGAAGAGCTGAGTCTCTTGAACCACATGATGTAGTTGGCGAGGATCACCATGATCCAATCATCATGAATGATTAATAATTTTAAATTTTGTAATTTCAAACGAGTTTGTTTGGTGCATTGTGTATGCATAGATATTATACACGAAACTGCTGCTAGCTGTTAGATATTATTTCCTAGCTTTTTTCTTAATATTTTACTTTTAGGTTTTTGCTGTTTTTGTTATTTTGAAAGAATGCAAAATGCCAAAATGGGGTGTGGAGTGGAGTCTTGGGAAGGGAGGGTTAAAAATTTTCATCAATTCATTATTCAATGGACCTTATTCAATGAAATTTTTCTAATTAACGCACACCTGAGTTGGTGGTAAAATGGCGGATTTTTGTAGGAAAGACAGGCTGAACAATCTTCTCTTTTATCCAGCCACTCTAGCTTTGAGAACCACTTTGAGCTGACCTTTTGT